CGGGCTCAGTCAATCCACTCACCTCAGCCTCCCAAAGGCGCGGGATTATAGGCTGAGCCACAAAGCCTGGCTTGTTTCAGGTTTTTAAAATTTATTTATCTATTGATTTTTGAGTTGGAGCCTCACTCTGTCGCCCAGGCTGGAGGCAGTGTCACCTTCACAGCTACTACAGCCTCAACCAGCTGGGCTCTAGCAATCCTTCCACCTCAACCTTCCAAAGCTGGACCTACAGTTGTGCACTACCACACCTGGCTAATTTTTATTTATTGTAGAGACCAGGTCTCACCAAGTTGCCTGGGCTGGTCTCGAACCCGTGGGCTCAGGCAATTCACTTACATGCTTTGACCTTCCAAAGTGCTGGAACTACAGGCTGAGCCACTGAACCTGGCCAGTTTTGGTTTTTAAAAATGAGGTCTTGGCCAGGCACAGGGGCTCAGCCTGTAATCCCAGCACTTTGGGAGGCCGAGGCAAGAGGACTGCCTGAGCCCCAGGGTTTGAGACTATTGGTGAGAACTTTTCTCTACAATAAATCACAAAGATGGGCACGGTGGCATGCATGTGTAGTTCCAGCAACTTGGAAGGCTGAGGCGGAAAGATCGCCTGAGCCCAGCAGGTCAAGGATGCGGTGGTCATGAGTGTCACTTCCAGCCTGGGCGACAGAGTGAGACTCCAACTCAAAAACAAACAAAGGAACAAACAAAAAAGAGGTTTCTCTATGTTGCCTAGGCTGGTCTCAAAGCCCTGAGCTTAAGCAGTACTCCCTCCTCGGCCTCCTAAAGTGCTGGGATTACAAGCATGAGTCCTAAAACCCAGCCAACAGGACTAGGTGTTTTTGAGCTGAAGTCTTACTCTGTTGCGCAGACTGGAGTTCAGTGGCACACTCACAGCTACTGCAACGTCAACCTACCGGGCTCAGGCAATCCTTCTGCCTCCCAAGTAGCTGGAACTACAGGTTTATGCCACCATAGCTGGTTACTTTTTTAGAGAAGAGGTCTCGCCAAGTTGCCCAGGCTAGTCTTGAACCCCTGGGCTCAGACAATCCTCTTGTTTCTGCTTCCCAAAGTGCTGAGATTAGAGGCATGAGTCATCGCGCCCAGCTACAGGGCTAAGTTTTGACTGATTCTATGGACAGTAGTGGGTGGATTTGAGAGGAAGGTCTGGATTGCGGTTGGAATTAGGTCTGTGCTTCATCTTGATCAGACTTGAGGTCATGGTCACGTCCATCCCGGCAGCTGAGGCAGCTGCTTGACCTTGGCTGTGGTTGTCTGTCTACCCCTCGCCCACTTGCCCATAACACTTAGTCCTTCGCTCTTGTCTGAGGTCAGCTGTCTCCAAACTCTCTGATCTGCCCCCAGTGTTCCTACCTGTTTTGCCTCCCCCCCATACCACTGTGACCATGCCATCTGCACCTATCCACCCAGGGCTCACTAGGCTTTCTTCATTCCTTCTACTTCCCAGAGCTGAGAAGGAACTTAGGAACCTGCCTCCAGCCTTCCCTCTCTTCCCAGCAGTCCTGGTTGAATCTATATCCTGCTTGCAGTTCCCTGTGGAGCCGTACATTTCCCTACCCGATTCCTCTCCACCCACACCCCTAGCTGACATCCTCAGCTAAGATCCTGTCACTGTCCATGGGAATTCCCATCTCCTGTATCAAATGACTAGTTCTCAAAAAGTAAAATAAGAAATGCTAGCCTCCTTCCTCAGACTTGGGAGCTTCCAAAAGTCAAGGGAATACCCCTTTCATCATACAAGGGCCTGAGGAGGGAATGGGTCTCTCCTATCAATATAATAATTCTTTATTTTTGTTTTTATTTATTTGGTTTCTTTTGAGTCAGAGTCTCACCTTGTCTCCCAGACTGGAGTGTAGTGGCATGCTCAAGCCTATCAACAACCTCAACCTACAGATGTGTGCTACTGTGACTGGCTAATTTTTTATTTTATTTTATTATTATTATTTTTTGAGTTGGAGTCTCACTCCATCGCCCAGACTTGGAGTGCAGTGGCACACTCCTGGCCACCACAGCCTTGACCCGCTAGGTTCCAACGATCCTTCCACCTCAGCCTTCCAAGTAGCTAGAATTACAGGCGGATGCTACAATGCCCGGCTAATTTTTGATTTATTGTAGAGATGAGGTCTCGCCAAGTTGCTCGGGCGGGTCTCAAACCCGCAGGCTCAGGCAATCCATTCACCTTGACCTCCCAAAGCGCTGGGATTACAGGCTGAGTTTAATCTGTTGTTAAGATGAGGTCTCACCAAGCTGCCCAGGCTGGTCTGATCCCCTGGGCTCAGGCAGTCTTCCCACCTCAGCCTCCCAAAATGCTGAGATTATAAGCATGAACTACTGCGCCCGGCCAGAGTAAGGATTCTTTAAGAGGTAGAGGGGCATACCTTGAAAACCCAAGAGAATCTGTCAAAAACCTCCTTGCACTGATAAAGGACTTTGGCAAAGTCTCAAGGTACAAAATAAACATGCAAAAAACAATCACATTCTTATACACTACCAACAAACAGGTAGAGCACCAAATAAAAAGCACATTCCTATTTACAACAGACATAAAAGAAAATTGAAATACCTTGGCATCATCCTAACCACAGATGTGAAAGACCTTTACAACAAAAACTACAAAACACTACTCAAAGAAATCAAAGAAGACACAAACAAATGAAAAATATTCCATGCTCATGGATTGGAAGAATCAACATTGTTAAGATGTCCATCCCACCCAAGGCAGTCTACAGATTCAACACAATAAAATAAATAAATAATTTTTAAAAAAAATCTAAAAAAGAAAGTGGACTGAATTTAAAAAATGTGGTACATTAACATGCTGGAATATTACGCAGCCATAAAGAACAAATTTATGGACCCTGCAGCAACTTGAATGGATTTAGAGTCTATCATACTCAGAAACAATGAACTGAGAACCACATGTTCTCACGCATGTGTAAGCACGCATCTGTAAGCAAACCCTGAACATTTATCCTAATACTATAAGAAAGGGATTGGCAGTAGCAGGACACTGCAGGGGAGGGAGGAGGCACATAATATCAATAAGGGTACCTGACCTAAAACTGAGCAAAGTGGGGACCAAAGGGAGGCCCAAACTTTACCTGTACGATGATCACACATTTTTAAAATTTTTAAAAAAGAGGTGAGGGGCACTCAAACTTACTGAGCACCTATTATATGCCTGGCATTTCATAAATGTCCTCTAATTTAATCCTCACAACACCCCAGTGAGATACATAGTGTCACTCCCTCTGGCAGGTCACTTGATAGTTTTCTCCATCTGAATTCATTTGCTACCACTCTAAGTTCCCCCACTGAACTGGCAGTTCCTTGAGGGCAGGGACTGTGTCTTGTTCACAGTTGTTCCTGCTGCCCCTAGGGTAGCACCTGGCACAGATCAGATGCTTGAAAATGTGAACAAAGTGAACCCATTTCCTCAGCTGAGCAGGGAGGCCGGGTCTGATGGGGGAGGCCCGAGAGTGTTCTCCCCCTCTGAGCCCGGCCCCTGGAGGGAAGAAGGGAGCAGAACCCCTCCCCCCCCCGCCGAGCTGCCCTGTACCCTGGCTGGCAGTCAGCACCGCTAGTCACCTCGCTCCTCTAGCTGAATGATGGCCGTGCCTGGCCCGAAGCTGTTCCAGGCGGTGCAGTTGTAGTGGGTCTGAAAGTCAGCTTCCATGACGTTGTTGATGGTGAGCGTGGACAGGACGCCGCTGCCCGAGTTGGTCCTCTCCATCGTGTAGCGTTCCAGCGTCCCCACCTCCAGGATGTTCTCCTTCCATGCCCATGCCTGGGGCGAGGAGGGCAGGAAGGACGTGAGAAAGGGGGAGGTGACAGGACCACTTGTCCTGGTATTCTCTGATCCACTCTCAACACCCTCAGCCTCGTGTGTCATGTGACCTATGCCCAGCCTAACCTCCTCATAAAGAACCTGACTCACACCTTGGGCATCAGGTCTCCACTCAGGGAGGAGCAGTGGCTCCCACACGTGGCTGACACCAGATTTGCCTCGGAGATTCGAAGAATGTAGATTCCCGGGGCTTATGTCCTAAATATGAGTACCCAGGGGAGAGGCCCAGGAACCTCTGTTTTCATAACTCTCTCATGTGAGGTGGATGCAGGTGACCCAATGAACCAACAATGGGAACCCCAGATGCAGAAAAAGTTCTAGATTGGAACTCAAGAACTCTCTCCACCGAGTCCCTGTGTGGCCTCCTCGTCCTTAGGTCTCATTTTCTTCATCCGTAAAGTGAGAGAACCATGCCAGAGCTAGACGATGCTCAAGGTTTCCTCCAGCTCTGACAGTGTGATGCCAGTGAAGCAAAACTCAATCTGTAGGCGGACCTTTAACCAACCCACACGCATCTGCCTGGCTGGCTCTGCAGACCCATCCACCACTCTCATATATGGCAGGAACCAGGGAGGAGTATCCCCCGCCCCTCCCTCCCTGACCTCCTGCTGGGCCTCCCCCTGCCCCCCCACCCCGTGGATCCCAAGGGAGGGGAGTAGCTTTGAACTGGCTCCTTTCCAGGGATCAATCCTCCTAGCTCGGCAAGGAAAGCCCCCGGGAGCGAGCTGCCCGCTGCCCGGGCAGCCGTGGTAATGAAGTGTCCCTGGGCAGCCCTGGAGTTAGCCAAATGGTCATTAAATGTGATGAGGGGTTTGACGGTTATGGTCACGGAAGGAATTAATGGCTCATGGTGTGGGGGAGACAAGAAGGAGGGAGGAGCGTGGCAAGGAAGGGGGCTGGCAGGAGGAAGGCGAGAAGGGAGCGAAGTGGGACTGGGCGGCAGGAGGACTGACCGAGGGAGGAGGGGTGGGGGGAGGAGGAGCCAGGAAAAGATCAGGAGACCAACAAACGGGCAACTGAGGGAGAAGAGAGGGCAGAGCATTAGCGGGAAAGAGAGAGGGGAACCAGGGATGGACTGAGTACGGAGTGCCGGCCCAAGCCTCACACCTGTTGCTGTAGTGACTTCGCAGCAACCCTGTTAGGTAGCGTTATGGCCTCTGCATTTTTTATATTTATTTTCTTTTTGGGGGAGTTGGGGTCACTTCGTCAACCAGACTGTGCCTCCTGAGCTCAGGCAATCCTTCTGCCTCAGCCTTCCAAGTAGCTGGAACTACAGGTGTGCGCCTCCACACTCAGCTAATTTTTAAAATTTTTTGCAGAGATGAGGTCTTGCTAGGTTGCCCAGTGTGGTCTTGAACCCCTGGGCTCAAGCAAGCCTCCCGCCTTGGCCTCCCAAAGTGCTGGGATTGCAGGTGTGAGCCCTCGCACCTGGCCTGGCCTCTGACAAGGAACCTGAGATTCAAGAACATTAGATAGTTTGTCCAGGGCTACACAACAAGTGAGAAAGGTGGGATTTGAGCAGTCAATCTAGGGACAGCGGGACAAAAGACAGGATAAGCAGAATGGAAAGGGATGGGGAAGGGGAAGGGCAGAGAAAGCAAGAGGAGGATAGGCCTGAGCCCCAGGCGGGTCCCTGCACTCACGATGCGGTCTGGGGGTGGCGTGCTCCCAATGAAACACTCCACCTTGCCACCGTCGCCCCTCACGGCGTACTGCACTGCCTTGCTGGAGATAATGGGGGGTCCTGCAAGCAAGAAGGCACAGTCAGGGCCAGCCAGCACCTGCAGCGCCTGCCCGCCCGGCCCTAGCCGCCTCTCGGGCCACTCACCATTCACATACAGCGGCACCTCCCGCTCAGCCACTCCGATTCGGGGCACGATGGCCCGGCAGGTGTAGGTGCCAGCATCTGCCTGAGTCACCGACTTCAGAAGCAGCTGGTTGCTGTTACTCAGGACCTGGGCAGAGAGAGCAGCCTCGGGTGGGGAGCCAGGAGGCCTGGGCCCCTAGTCCATGAGGGCCCCGCGTGGGAGGGGTTGGAAAGAAAGCAGGAAGGGCCACAAGTGAATTCCCAGAAGGGACATGGGGTTCCCGAGTCCATCGGGTTCATCCCTTGCTCTAGACAGGCTGGCCTGAACATATACCGTCTCTGCAAGAGTGAGCAGAGACAGGGTGAGGCCAGAGAGGGCAGGTGAAGGCTGCCATCATTTTACAAGGATGCAGTCTCTTCTGATGATCTCTTCTAGTGCTTTTTTTGGGGGGGCAAACGAGGTAGGATGTTTTACTCTGAAATTCATCTTCCTGCAATTGTGGCCCAAACTGTCTAAAGTTGGTCTCTGCGGTGCTGCAGAATCCAGCTTTCTCTTCTCTAGCAAGTTGCCCCAACTTCTCTTCCCTACTTCCCTGTAAAACAGGACCCCCAGATCTCTGCCCTAGAAGCAGGTCTGCCTCTGGTTCCTCTCCTCCTCCCTCCCACCCAGCTTCACATGCAGAGGTGGATTTGTCCCCTTGCCTTCGAACTAACTAGTGCCCTCTGAGAAGGGGTGGGGGTGACTGCAAGTCCCAAGACTCTAGAAATATCCCAGGTTCAGTTAGGAGAATAATACTGAAGGCCCCTTGCTCCCTCCATCCCCTACCCGTGGCCACACCCCTTCCCCCCAGCATTCAGGGTAGGCATTAAGAGTCTTACCATGTTTGAGTCCTTTTTGGTCCAGGTAAGGGTGAGAGGGGGATTCCCAACCCAGACACAGGTGAGGGTCACATCAGAGCCAATGTCTGTGGTGGTGGGTTTGGGGTCTACTACGATCCGGGGGGCAACTGAGGTAGGAAGAAGCCACTCGTCAGGGTCTCAAGCTCATGGGATCAACTCCAATGGGTCTTGTCTTCCTTCTTCTGCCCTGCCCCCACCCCATCCATGGAGAAGCCCCCTCCACCTCCAGGCCCTTCAGACCCCCTGCTCGTCCCTGCCCGCCAGCTACTCACAGTGAACGTTTACTAAAGTGCTGACATTGGTGCTCCCCACTTTGTTGTGAACTTCACAGGACACAGGCTCCGTGAAGAAGGAATAATCCACATTTGTCTCATAGCGACTCTCATGGGCATCTTCAATCAAGAAACCCCCCTTAGCCCACCTGGAAGAAGAGACAACACAGAGGTGGGATCCAGGCTTGGACTCTCCCAACTAATCCAGTGACACGGCCTCCTTGCATGTACCTACCTCCCCTCACTCTCGTCTTTATTGCACACCTAGCAGGCAAGCACGCTTCATGCTAGGTGTGCTTATTCCTTATCTTATTAATGCTCACAATCCCAAGAAGCAAGTCCAGGTCCACAATTCCTGATCCTTTTTCAAATTTTAGAAGGTCAATCTTGTGCAAAGACTTTTCAGTATGTAAGACCTCCTCCAGCAGTGTCTGGGCCTCCCCAGGGCACTCCCAGCCCCTGTCCCTCACCTGTAGCCTAGGATCTCAGGGTTGGCTGTGGCTTGGCACGTAAAGACGACACGCTCGCCTTCCTGCACCGTCTGTGGCTCAATGGACAGGGTCACTGTAGGAGGGTCTGCAAAGGGGGGGATGGGAAGTTAGGGTCTTCTCTGTCCTTTGAGTTTCTTTGTCCACCCCACAACACAGACACTCCAACCTCACCACCCTGGATGATGTGGAATTAGAGTTTGCAGTGCACCAGCTCCAATAAGGAAGGCATCTTTCTCACCTTGCCCACACGGAGCCTCTAGGGTTGCCCACCAAGCATGGTACCAAAGAGATCAAGTGTTCAGTGGAGTAATGACCCACTATGGCCACTAGGCGTCAGTGTGGGCCCGCCTGGCTCTCTCAAACGGATGGGTGGGGGCTCCCCAGTCAGTGGCTGCTCAGGGTTCCCTGGGCAGAAGTTATTTATTGCGCACCTAGCAGGCAAGCACACTTCGTGCTAGGTGTGCTTATTCCTTGTCTTATTTAATGCTCACAATCCCAAGAAGCAAGTCCAGTCCCACAATTCCTGATCGTTTTTCAAATTTTGGAAGGGCAATACCGTGCAAAGACTTTTCAGTATGTAAAACCTCCCCCAGCAGTGTCTGGGCCACACCCTACAGTCACACCCATTAATACACCTGCCCTGAAACGTAAGACTGTTAAGTAAAAGGCTACAAAGTGCCACAGTTCAGGTTTTATTTCACTTACATAAGTTGTATTTACGTTTAATAAAAGACTATAAAGGCCGGGTGCAGTGGCTCACGCCTGTAATCTCAGCACTTCGGGAGGCAGAGGCGAGAGGATTCGCCTCCTGAGTCCAGAGGTTCAAGACCAGTCTGGGCAACTTGGTGAGACCTCGTCTCGACAATAAATCAAAAAATTAACCAGGCATGTTGGCATTCATCTGTGGTTCCAGCTATTTGGAAGGCTGAGATGGAGGGATCACCTGAGCCCAGCAGGTCAAGGCTGCAGGAGCCGTGAGCATGTCACTACACTCCAGACTGAGTGACAGAGTGAGACTCTGACTCAAAAAAAAAAAAAAAGATTATAAAGAGCCTCAGTTCAGGTTTTGCCTCCAAATCACTTTGACTTTGGAACTGTGGATTGTGCTCAATTTTTTTTCTGCAGCTATATACTGTACAGAATTGGAAGCTGAGGCTCAGAGAGAACCCATCACTGCCCAAAGTCACATGGTTTAGACTCAGGACTGCCTAACTCCTCAGTCAATGCCCCTTCTCAATGCCATTCTCGTGGTTGAAGCCAGGGAATTAAAAGAAAGTGAGTGTTTGTCCTGGGTCCCTGAGAGGATCCTTCTTCTGGGCTTCTCCAAAGGCTGCCTGCATTCCCCTCCTGCCTCTCTGCCCCAGCGGCTTCCCCAGCCCCACTCACGGTGCACATCGAGCTCAATGGAGGTCTCCCTGCCGCTTGGGATGGCTTCGTTCATGCTCCGGCAGGTGAAGACACGCCCGATGTCCAGGTCCGTGGGATTAATGAGCAGCTGGCTCACGGTGGTCTCCCTCTTACCATCCTTCAGCAACTCCTGGGACAAGGCAAGGGTGGGACGCAGGGTCAAGCTCAGAGCCCCTTCCTCTGCTCTCAAGGTGACCCGACTCAGAGATGGACTTGAGCTGGAGGGGTACTTTAACCTAAAACTCAGCCTTGTCCGCTCCTCTCAGCTGCTTCCCATGTGTTATTTTTGTTTTAATCAATAAACTCTTATTTATTTATTAATCTTTAAATTTTAAAAATACACTTATGTATTTTTTTTTTTTAGAGATGAGGGTCTCGCTGTGTTGCCCAGGTTGGTCTCCAATTCCTGGGCTCTTGCCATCCTCCCACCTCAGCCTCCCAGTGGTTGAGACTACAGGTATGTGTCACTGTAACTGACTATTTATTTTTTTTGAGTTGGAGTCTCACTCTGTCACCCAGACTGGAGTGCAGTGGCCGCTACCGGCCACCGCAGCCTCTGCCTGCTGGGCTCCGGCGATCCTTCCGCCTCAGCCTTCCAAG